AACTTAAGTTATTGATATGATGGGATATTTATTGATTCGAAGATGATTTTCATCATGAACTGACATCAGTTGTTGAATAAATGAAAACTGAGAGGCTGTAAGTAATTTCATCATCTTAAAATTAAAATTGTACAAGTTTAACTACTAATACTTTGAGGAATAAATTTTTATGAACTATGTCTCTTTTTTACAAGTGGACTGTAATCTTATGAACTCAGCTACTTCATGATACAGAGAGTCAATCTATCAGTTTTGTCGGTCTATATTTTATCTGAAAACTAAATGCTCTTGCACTTACAAGTTGTGCTTCCACACTAAAGGTTATCTCTATCAATAGAGTCACTAAATTTGTTAAGTTTGCGATCGTTACATTACCAACCAATTTTGAAGTTGAAGCCACTAAACATGTAAGCTTTATAGTCAGATTTTGTTCAAGAATCCTGTACAGGAAAGAAATAAATGTCACTGATTACCATTTTCTAGTAATATTTGAAACTGACTAATAAGATATCATGAGCCTAGTCTTCCATCGGGAGAAAGTCTCTTTCTCCCTTGTGTATAGGGACGATAAGGTTAGAGACCAAGTTCCTCAGTTATGAAAGGAAAATTGTATTAACATGCAAAGCACTTCCGCTAGGATGACGGAGACCGTCTATTTCACTTGAACTTGTAGTAAGCTGTTGAAACAGTTACAAGATTCATATATTTGGATATCTATAAGTTTCTCTGGCTCGGTGAGATCAACCTAGGTAACCATAAACGCTATCATGACAATATTCAGGGTTCAAAATGTTGGATGTATTCAGCACCAGTCAGAGAAGTTGTCCTTTAGGCTCGTACAACCTGGCCTCTATAAGGTGAGGATACCATAAATTTAAGCCCCCTTTATGTGTACAAAAACAATTTGTCGTAACCTTGAATTTACCTTGGTAATCCTTGAGTCATTCTATGGCCTAGGATAATGCGACAATTTCTTATCCTTTCTCTCCCCTTTGTTATTTTTGTTTGTACTTTAACTTTCATGTAATTGACCTTTATTAATTTTCATATAAAAATGCCCTGACAAGTATATGTGTGACCAGATTGTTCGAAATGTATAGCGCAAATACATCACATTTTTCAGATCAACTCCGTCTTCTCATTGTTCTATCGAAATTTATAAAAGGGACTAATTGCTTTAGATACCATAAGTCCCTTAATTCCATCAATCTTGGTCCCGAAAGATAAGTTGTGTTCAGGGGCAAAACTGTTGAAGTAATGTCGAAGTCAGGAAAGTTTGCAGCCATATATACAGACCATTGGAATGTTTCGGCCAAGACATATGATGTGACTTTTAGCGAGTTCGAATTCATTACAGCAGATCATTTCTAAATTGCATATCATGTTGAAAATATTCCTTTAACTATACTTTAAACACAAAATAGCATTTTTTATGGCATTGTATTACTAATAGTTGAAGATTGTGTTTAAAAACTTTCAGACTCATGTTAAAACCTTCATAATTCATTAACTGATTTATGACATTCTTTTTAACAGATATTTAATCTATTGAAATCATAATGAACCCTTAAAGGAATTCACTTTCATTCGCAATGGCAAGAATCATAGTTTTCTCTTAGCACTAATTTTGAAGGAATTCGGGAATATTTTACATTAAAAGCCAGCATTTTGAGGCATCTACAAATGATTTATAGAATGCCTTTAATTTAGAATGACATTTAAGAATCCCATCAGTATGTCAAAATTACTTTAGTTTCATGTTATTGAGCAGAAATATACTCTTTTAAATTCACAATATAATTTTTTATCAAATATTCGTTCTATGTTACTTAGCTCTTATTCGATTTGATCGCCTGGTATATCAAAGCTCCCAAAAATCATTAAAATAGATATGATTGCACTTTCCAGGCAATAGATTTCCAATAATGCCTGATTCTATCTAAATAAAAATTGTCTGCGATGTAAGGCATACATAATATATTAGGTTAAAAAGAATTGATGTATGGATTAATTAACCTTGACTATCACTGTTTATTTGACCTGGTGAAAAACTAATGTATAAGCTGAAAATATCAACATTTAAACAGTTCTAGTCATTCACAAATATCAAACTGGAAGTAAATAAACTTTACAAGAATTAACCAATAAGATTGTAGTAAGAAACATCACATGACCTTTATTGTAATAGCTGTTATTTATTTATTCTGTGACCTTGAAACATGCTATTCATAACCAGAGTTCAACTGATATGCGTAAAGGTTTCATTCATTCACGTGATGTTACATGACAAAAATAAGTACAAATATCGTTCTTTAAATGGTACAAAAAAAATATTCTAACAACAAATTTTACAAAAAAGGAGGCTGAAATGATTTCTTATTAAATAAAATAGGACGATATTCTCCAAACCGTAAAGTGAAGACGAAAATTATTTTCAGGGGAGTAAATTTATGTTTATTGGTTCAAAACATGAAACAATATTACTTATCTTAAATCGATATTTGATCAATATAATAATATGATTTCTTCTTTCCCTATTTGTTCACATTACAGAGGAAATAATAAAAAGTAATATCTCGAATGAACATTTCGAGCAGGTGAAAATACAAAATTAACGTTTACTTAGTACATTTCTAACACATTTTAGTCAACTGTTTGTTGACATATTAGAAGTGTGGAATGTTTTGTAAAGAGTAAATAGAATGGAGAGGAAGGGTAAGATGACCTAAATAAGCTTCATCGTATACACATAATCCACTTTAGTAAAAGGGTATTAGGTTACAGAAACTAACTTAACAAATGGAAACTGACTTATTTGAAGGGATAATATTAAATTATTACGAAAAGTTTTTTGCTACTATGTATTAACGTGAGAAATTGTAACAGGTGGAATTCAACCTCGTCACCAGGGGGACAGTTACAGCTGAGGAAGGTGAACAACGGCAGTGCTATGTTGAAGACTAACTGGAGTTAGAAACATGAAGCATTGTACTGCAACTCAGTGATCAAAAAGTAACGTGCTCGCAACAACTAAGACATTGTTATGCTTGCCACTTTTGAAGTCTTAAACGAACCAAAACAGATATCCAGTGCTCTTTGGGTCTGTAGCTGATATCAGCCTATGATGAGAATTTTCTTGCAATTAGATGAGTAAACCTATAGTGACTCAAGATTGAATGTTTGCGTGTTCAGAAAACCCAAGCTATTTCCCATTTAAACCTCTAAATTAAAGACACTTTGTAACCTAACATTGTATTGTGGTGAAATTCTGAAGTATAAAGTCACTGTCCATTGTTTGTAGCACCAAACATGAGATGATGGAGATTTGTAACTGAGTAGGATTCTGGAGGTACACTATTTATCGAGCTTGATGGTTTAATCATGAAGTCCCCAATGTCTCTCTATACAAAATCACCACATACTTCAAAAGGAAGTAGGCTATGAGAGGTTCTTCACAATCGACTAATAGCTTGTTCGGTTGGTATGACATCTGAATGGTTGCTGCCTGAAACGCAAAGATGGACATCAACCAATCAATACTTATATCAATAGAGTATGCTGTCAATTAATCGTCGAAAAAAGTAGTATTTCACTTCTTTTCGAAGTATGTACAAATAACTAAATTTTTACAATATAAATGTCATCCCACTGATTTCTGTTTCACTACCAAGCCTGTTAAATTTGTTGTGAAATGTCAACGACCGCCTTCTCACAGCAATTTTGTTTACGAAATCCAGAAGACGAAAATCGATTGTCCGGCCTTTAAAGTGGATTGATGGTACACAGAATCCGCCTAGGAAAGTTGGGAAACCCTGATCCTAAATCAGTGGTCACGTGGGCTCTAGGAGTCTAAGGCAACAAGTTGCGTATGAGCCTATTCTTAGTCACTTTCTAACAAGGGACTGCATGTCTCAACATTGCTCCACTGCCCTGTGGATCAGACCTCTAGACCAAAGGCTCGGGGAGTGGTCTAAGAAAACTACGTGTTTCGGTTCGGATACAATAGCAGTACCCCAACTCACTGATTTATATGGCGCATATATACTTTGGTGCCTCCTTCGTACCAGTTTTTATGTAATTAAATAAAATAATAGCATAATGATACCTCCTAACTCATAGTAAGGTTAAGGCAAGAAGGATCTGAAACGCAGGTCTCGATACCCACGTTTTCCTTAATGCCATTTTACCAGGATACAGATATACTTTATAACATAGCTGGTTGAAGCTAGTAAGTAGTTTTCTGAATGACCTGTAAGGGTAGCAAGAATTAGTGGCTAGAAAAGTTTACCGATATGGTCGACAACTAATAACCGTAAATATGTACTCGTACCAAAAGATAAATGATATGTATTAGGTTTTTTAATACATTTAACGGCTACTTGCGACACTGTTTATAACTGAATTTACCAGTTATTTTACACCATTTAATAGGTAGGAAACTACCTTAAATCATTGTACGTTTTGAGGCGCTACATATTGATGAAAAGAGAAAAAGTATTTCGATACGATTTGATTAGTAACGAGTGAAAGTGAAAAATCCTGGTAATCCTATTATACGGGCACAACTATGATCAGATGATATTAGTAAGTTCATCATAATCAACGTAGAGCCTGGGACATATATGTTGGATGAACTCTTCATACCGCATTGGCACGAAAAGATGAAGTCAGAAAAGTAAATAACGAAGTATTTAAAACCCATCTAGTATCAGCGATTATGAGGAAGACTAGGCGCTGGTAATACAGTTCGGGAAGATAGAAAGAGATGTGTGGAGGAATACTGGAATTCAACTTATAAGCGGTTAAACATCGTCCGATGAAGTAGGTAATGGTTAAGTATACGTAATACATATCTTAATCACTTCTATTGATGAAGATTTACAACTAGATCAGTGAATTTGTCACCTATGGCGAAAACACTGAGCCTGACCTCATCATTGCTAAATCGGTCTGTATTCCGATTTTATACTAAATAATAAAACATTTAAAACAACATATATAAGTGAATAATTTTCTTTTTAACTAGATCCTTATCACGCATTACTTTAGCATACAGTAAAATTTATATGCATGTGTGAAATTATTAAACCATTTGTTCAATTATTTTATATTTAGGCACAAAGAGGAAATGTGGACATGATTTAAATGTGAAACATCATTAAGAAAAATGACATGAAAGAATAGAATGAAACAAATAGAACGTAAGCGACACGTTATGCAGAAAAAAATATGTAAGACCGGTTGCCATCAAACCATAAACGAGCCAAAAATAGATTCATTCAGTGTTTACATAAACTAAAATGCATATTCAACAAAAACCTTATAGGAAAAACAAACCACCACTGACAGATATTTTAACACATACTAACATTGATGAAAAACAGATAGAACGAAATGTTTGAAATAATACTAATGAGAAATTCGGCTGCAGATAGTGAAGCTAAATTTAGAATTTAGCAATATGAGCGATCACCGGGCCCCGTTTATTCATGGCCTCTTGAATTAGTCCTTCACCAGGGTTTCGAACTATTAGTTCTATAGATTGAATCAGTCTCTGAGATGAAACGTTTACGAGGTCTGAAAGAAAATGATAAACCAGAGTAAAAGATATTTGAAAGATTGATGGGTTGCGACGTATACACAAAATTTATAATGAATACACCACGACGGTTGTACACCATGAATTTATTCTTGACAGACGAACACTAAATGGTACCGTGTTTAAGTGACATTTTCTAAGCCAATGAGTGATAGAGCGAAGCAACATTTGTGTGGTGATTAAAATCTCCACCAACTGGCTGATTGGTCAATTTTTAATCACAATTATTTTGGGCTACATATACATATATGCTTTTGAAAAAGTAAATACATCTAAAATATTATCAAATATAGTAAACATGGCTTAAAATTATAATACTTCGAGCCTCCAGGAGCTAGGTCTTGATAAACCATGTTGAGTGAACAATTAATGGTCAATCTATCTACATCCTGATATTTATTGGAGACGGACTGGCCAACAGTTCCCATAAGTCTTGCACTTTCATGGAAAAATAAGTTGTCTAATGTAAAAACCTTAATTTTAAATTCAAAAACTGGTTACAATATGTGTCTATTTATAGCACAGGAGAAACTAAATGATTTGAAATGCAGACAACTTACTGCATGAACTTACTTGGTAGTAAATTCGTTAGCTAACTTTCTTGGTATAAAACCAGCCTTAATGGCTCCGTTCATAAATAATTCCATTAACGTGTAGGCAGCAGGTACATCTATTTGTAAGTCTGGTAATTCAGCATAAACACGTTTGACACCCAGAGTTAACTGGTCTATTGTCAAAACAACTGAAGCACATAATTCCTTCAGCAAACGAATAACACGTTCACGTGCATCCTCTGTGCTTATTTCTATAGCCATTATAATTGACTAAAAAAGATTTAAAAAGGGATTTTGACAATAAGAAGTAATTAAATAAGCTTCAAATATTACAGTTAGACATTACCACCTTCACACGTTTTAGTTCCATAAAAGCTAGTACTTGCCAGAAACAACTACAAACTGCTTCTCTTAAGAATAGTTAGGTGAACTAGACTTTATAATTACAAGCATTAGACTACTAGCCCTAATGTTTGCTACATTTGGTTATCAAACACTGATGAGATGAGGGTTAAAGTCGCACTCTTAAAAGTTGAAAGATATTTTCAAATCAGTGAGCAATTCAAGATGAACACTGGCAAATAAAATAAGGACAGTGCAGAACTGGTCATATTAATTATTAACTGTTAAATTTCAACTATTTAAAACCTCAAGTCCACTCAAAAATTTGTAAACCCGTGTAAACGTCTGTGGGATGGAATAGCCGCCCAGTTTACAGACCAAGTGAAAATCAGTTCACAATCGTTTAGGTATCGAATTTTACGGGTCATTATTTACTATTACGTACACCTAATATCTAAATGCAGAGCTGATATAAATTCACAGAAACAGGTAATATGAACTCCAAGTTGTTTTTGTTAAATAAACGACACCATCACTTTAGTTAACAATCAAGCGTGAAATTATATGATGTAACTTGGATATATATAATCTGTGTTTGTAACCTTTGCAGTCAAAATCATAACACATATGATATTAAAAAACTTTTGGAATTCTGACTTTTGTCATCACATGACGAGTTATTTAGTATACTATAAAGCTTTACCTCATATGGAGATACAAATGTTGAATCGGACATATCAATTAGTATTCCATCAGTCTTAAAATACACACTAATTATTTTTAAAGTTATGTTTTGTATAGTAAATGGAAAATTAAAAACTCTCCGTAAAAAAATAAGATATAATCATGAAATTTACATAAATATATTGATCAAGACTAGCGAAATTTCGTAACCACAAGAACTGTCAAAGAATTAAGTATATTCTGCAAAACCCACCTGGAAAACAAGTTCATGTCGAAAATGAGGGGCATCTAGTTCTAACAGAGCTGCAGTAGCTTCGTCAATATCATTTGAGTCAATGAATGACTTGACTAATCTTTTGATTTTTTTCACTAGCATTTTTGTAGCTTTTGGGCCAGCGGGTACACCCCAAATGTTGTCTAATCTAGCATAGGCATGTCTTAGAGTTAGAATACTTTCAGCTCTGTTCAGAGCCTGAAGAGCTAGGTCTGGACGGGACATATTGACGGTTATCAAGCTTGATGCAGAGCCAATACCACTGCTAGCAGAAGTGTCCACAGAGACTGAGCCACCAGAACTGCTGTCACTAAAGTTGCGAGTACCAACTCGGATTGAATTTTGTGAGCTGGAATCATTTGATGTAGTAGAGACAGCGATAGCGTTTTCCGAGTCGCCTGTCTCAGTTTGGAGAGGGCTGCTACTAGGTGAAACCTGAGATAGAATATTTCTCTGCAGCTCAATAAATTTGGGAGGGAGGATATCATCTGTAACTGCTCTTGCTATAAAACGCCCAATATACTAAGACAGAAAAGATAAAAACCACATGTCATTTTTTTAAATGTTTGGCTGAAAATGAGAATATGAACCAAGTGTAATCAAAAGGCTTAACAGTTATGTTTTCCTTCACAGTAATGGCAATAAATTGTTGGCTATTGCAGTCTGTTTACACTATTGCAATCCATACTCTTAGCTTTCAGATTTAGCGAAAAATGCGAGACAATCGTGTATTGGTTCAAAGCGTTACCTCTTTAATTATATAATGGCCAAAAATAAAGACACAAATAGGATATACGGGTACATCCACGAGCTTATTCCCTGACTAAACGTTGAACGACAAATGTCGTATCTTCGAGGTTAGTGTACGTTACATATCACTGAATGTTATCTAAAAAGGAGAGGTGGCAGCTCTAACACATCCCAAATACTCTATGTTCTGAACACTTGCCATATACCTTGTTCGTTTATTTGAACACACAAACATTGGTACATGGGGGCACCAAATATATATGTCACACAATAAGAATGAGACCAGTAGCAGTTACGATTGATTTGCGTGGGGATTGGAACACTGCACGGGCGCCCAAACCTTGAGTAAAGAAATGAAATGTTTGTCAATTAGTTGCATAATCAAATTGTTCCGTAAGTTTTTTCCTATAATGGAGATGCAGTTATTGCTTTATTCCAAAATTCATATTGGTGACAGTGATACCTGGTAGTTCAGGATAAAGTTGACGAAGATATTTTAGAAAAAGTAGGACCTTGGAAATACTCAGTAATACTTCTAGTCATCGCATAACTATGATGAAGCGAATTTAAAAACATGCACTTTAAGGGGAACTTTTAAAAAGTATTTGTGTGAAAGGAGCTTATGTTAAAGTTTGATATAAATATTGCTGTGGAGTAAAATATATGGTCTGTTAATAACCGAGACTTTACCATTATAAAATATGTTCACCGACATACCTCAGGCACTTTGGGGACATCAATGATGAGATCACTAATTTCACTGAAAACAAGTTGGAATCCTTGTTGAATGTGAGCATGATTGAGGACTTTGCCGCACATGTCTGACAGCAGTTCTGATGTTAGCTCGCACTGTGTTTGTCGATGTTGAATGGCAAGAGTAATTGCCAAATACGGAAGTCGACGACGTTGATGCGCTGCAAGATTCATATCCGAAAGAACATCCTAAAAGGACACCGAATAAGTTTAATGTAAAGGCTATCTTATCTAAATTTACTGGGAGATGAACAAATCAAAGAAAGTATTTTGTCACACTAATTAAGGTTACGAAAATAGTGATTGGTTAAGGCTTTCGGTGTTATTACGACAGAAATCAGTGGGATTCCTTCCATAACCGTTCAGCATACTTTCTATAAGTGAGATGGGTTTTGTGACTACTTTCCACCGACTTATATTTTAGTAAACACTATTTCTCATTAATTATACTACACTTCCCTCCTTTACTTTTCTGGAATATTACCTCTTGTTTCTTTCGCATTCCTGAAGCTCTGTTTTGTCCCAATTCCTGATAATCCAAGAGGAAAAAAGACTTATTAACTGTAAAACTCTGGTTTCTTTTCAAAGTATCGAGCGGACGAATGGATTGTCTACAAAACCTTAACAGCTAGATATTAGGCCGCACGTACGACATAATCGCTCTTAAGGCTGAACCAACAAATTTAAAACTAACAATGGTACTGCTGATTTCTGAACTTACTGAGTGAAACCTAAGTTAGGTGAAAACACTTAGAAATGAACAAAAAAGATTGAGTAAATATAATAAGAAGCTAGACTTACTGTAAAGAATAACTATAGAACAAAAAAGGGATGACTTACAATAACCTCCTGAGTTTTGCCATGTATGAAAAACTCGTTCATCAATGAAATGAAAGTCTTTTCAAATATATCATCAGCCAGGGTTGGCTGAAACTCATCAAACGTAACCGGTGCCTAGACCAATATATGCTGAAAGAATAAGATACTTACATCCACATCAGAATCAAAGTCAGGATCCTCAGGATCCAGCTCGATCTCATCCAAAACGTCGGTAGGATCGTCATGCTTTCCACCACCTACAACAATTGCGAAACTTTTCATACAAACGTACGTTTGCTAGGTAATTTGCGTCCATCTCGTGACTTTTTGCTATTCTTACCATAAGGCAAACGACTACCAGAGAGCTGGACTTTGTGAAGTGCAGCCGTTAATGTATGCAAGTCAGAGGGAACCCCATCGATTGTAAGACCGTTTGTGCCAGAATGGCTGAACGAGGCAGAGTGGTAGCGTTTCTTTCTTCCATGTGGCACTAAGGGACATTTTTGAGATTTATCAAAAGACGGTGGCGGCCAGATCATTTCCCCTGCTGACTCCTCGCCGCTTGCAGCACCTCCATCACCAGAGAAAACGATTTGCCCTCTCTTGGACATTTATGGGGTATTTGCCTCTGCTCCAGATGGTGGGGAATGAGTTTAGTGAATCCACTTAGTTGTTTCTGTTTAGTGTTTGATCAGTAATTGTAATGATCCCTGAGACAGCAATAGACAATCTACAATATAGAAGATTGAGGTATACAAACTTTAACGGTCAACGAGAGAATACACCTAACCAAATCCGAAAATGCCCAGAGCAGATGAAACAATGTACTGAAGTTTGCAATCGAAGTTCATATCGTCTAAGGTTTTTGATTATAATTAGCGCCTATGGAGGATACTTATGTGTAATAACAGCAACATCCAGTATAGGAATTCATACGTCTTTAGATAAGCCATACTAGTTATCTTATAAAACAAGTTTTGGTGAAAGATCCCCAGTAACTCTTTATACTATGCTAAAGTAACATTGCTCGAACAGTCTTATTGCATCACAAAAATAACTTCGCTCACTTCTAAAGAAAATCCTCGATGATTTCGCTTATCCCTATCTATCCTAATCTAATAATAGGTCAGTACATGTATTAGGTAATTCTTCAGGAGAAGGAATATCATTTAGGCTGTAAAAATAAAGAACGACTACCATCAGACCTCTAATACTTCAACTACGTACTCGGACAACTGAAATGGCGCTTGAATATGTATTGTGTGTTGATTAATTTCAACAAATCTTTGAGACAAAGACCAAAAGGCGGTATGAATACGTTTTATTCACCTTCGCCATATCCTGAATGATCATCAATACGGTTTAGTGATAAATAGTATGCTTAAATGAAACACTTGATTTTTGAGCTTATTTCTGTACCATGATTCAAATAGTTCAAATGGTTGTGGACGGAATAGAAGAAGCTTTCGCTAAACAGGCTTCCGTGTCTAGTAGCAGGGGATCACCAATACCTCCAGGCATGAACCTAGGCATATTAACGATAAGAGAAAAAAAATGAATTGGTAAATCATAGTAAGATACTAACCTTAGTCCTTAAGGATAGATCAAGTCGCCTCTTAAAGGACTCCTGGGAAGTTGCCTGGACTAGCTCAGCTGGCAGCGAGTTCCAGCATTTGACAACTCTTAAGGAGTAGAAGATGTGTCTGCAGTCCGTTCTACTATGTTGTATCTCCAATTTCTGGGGGTTACCCCTTAGGTTAGTGTTAGGACTAAGCTTAAGTAGGTGTTTAAGAGGATGTCCAAGTGTGTTAAGGATACTGTAAGCCATTAAAAGGTCACCTCTAAGACGCCTATACTCTAATGGGTAAAGGTTGAGGCGTGATCTTTTCTAAAGGTAATGAATAAATTAGACGAGTAATGGTTAATAAATCCTCGATATGAGTAGCTTTGTAAACGCTCCTCTTTTATATTAATAATGTTAGTATGATTGAACATTCTCCTAACTAAAGGCGATTGGCCAAACATCCGTACAAGGTAACGTTTCTGTAAGCCGCATAAAGAAGCTACTTATGATAAACTTCCAGCTCAGATACAATATGCTGCCATACCTCTGGAAAGAATTCATTATATCTATAGTAAAACATCGACCACCAGTATGAAAGTAGTAATTTCGGTGGAGACTCATGAATGCAGATAAAAATATCACAGCTATTACAGTTAATAATTACATGAGGTGAATAAAGAGGGTTTCACTCAAAAGAACTTAACGAACATAGTATGAAGAACCCTCAAAGCACACTGCTTCACATCTCCTGCAACCAATAACCAGCTTAGATTAATCACTTCTCGATATATCGATAGCCTATCAAATGTTGAGGACTTAAAGAGTTATTGATTTCATTTACGGCTACAATCTTAAATGCGGTCGAAACGATAATTAAGGGAGAAAACTAACTTTAACGATAACCAGAAATGGATGAAAGCGACTCTCAACATTTCGACAACCTTCCAGATATATTCTGAAACGCATTTATCACTTGCTTCTGATTTGACTGGGTTAATAACCTTCGATTATAAAGATACTACAGGCAAAGGCATTGTCAGACGTTGAATGTCTGTGGGGCTTTTATAGGTTAATTAATATCTAACTGATAGATTGTCATAGTTTATCTCAAAATAGCGTAGCAAGGTGGAATCGCCTAACTAAACACTGAACATATAACTGGTTTCTTTTCGGGAATCTGGGGATTCTGAACGATGAATTGTTCGAGATCATTTCCAGTTCCGTGAGAGGCTGCGCATAATTCCTACACAAACATATATACAGAGCTACTTGTGTCTCACCGGATCAAACTACACAGGACCAGATCGACGACATTTGTATCACTAAAACATTCTAACGAACAACGGATAACGTGAGAACCAGGATAGGAACCGATATTACTTAAGATCACCACCAACTGGTGGTCACCAATATGAAACTGAAGCTAAAGAAACACTGGACAATTGGAGAGACAGCATTACAAAGGTTAAATACAGCCTTCCTTCGAGATACTGGCAAACTCAACGAATCGAGGATAACTCTCAACAACAGGTTCCAAGCCTTGCATGACTTAATCAAAGAAGAAGTGACTGTTATGGAGGAAAATTGGAAATGGATCAAAGAAACACTAACTTCAACATATCAGAAGAATTTATGCCACAAAAGCATCATCACAAGAAATGGATCTCTATGGAATCAGTGGGCAAGATTCAAGAATAGAAGAGTAAGAAGACAGGAATTAACGATAACGGAACGAGAACAGATAAAGTCAAAGCACAGACCGAATACACAGAAGCGGAAATATGAGAGAAGACGAGCTTTAGAACCGAAAATCAGAAATACGTGTGAGGACTAGTAATGACAGCCGGAAATACTGTAAGAGATGGAATTATGAGACAATTATGGAATGCAACGGAGAAACTAGAATGGGTATACTGTAAAGCGTAGTGGGCCGATCACTGAGATTGAAGTACAGTGGAACAGACAGGTAGAGTTCTTTTAAAGACATTTGAATGGACTAGGTTCATTGAGCTATCTGGACATCGAAGCAGCACACGATGTTACTCAATCAACGATCGACGAAGTCAGGATGGCCTGTCATCGGACAATTTTACAGTCGAAAAGGAGCAGCATCTGACAATATTTCTACCGTGGAACTGCAGTCAGATACAGAAGTGAGTGAGTGCAAAGATGCTTCAAATCCTATTCTGAAAGATTTTGGAGGAGGAACGAGTGCCACAGACAAATTGGGGAGTAGGACACCTCATCAAGATATGATTGAAAGGAGTGTGGTGTCGATTACTACGTTAAGGCCTCATAATTTATTCTAGCTTCTGGACAGTCCAATTTATCCTTTCTTCTTGAGTCTAATTTCAACCCTCTTATTTATTGTTCAGATCATTGAGTGTACAAAATATCCTTACTTACTTTACTTATGCCTGTTACTCTCAATGCAGCATAGGCCGCCGACCATTAGTTATCTTCATAGCAGTGTGATATACTAAATGGACATCTAACCCGTGATACAAACGCTTTAAGTATCTGAATTGCTTGTAACATGGAACTAGTACAGACAGTGTATTCCAACTATGTGCTTCGATCAGAGCAATATTCATACTTACCACAAATGTAAGAGGGCCTAACATCACAAAAGGAGGGCGAGTGGCGTTGCTGACCAGTAAACATAGTGGTGGGGAGATAACTTCAATCCACTGATGTCTGTAGGGCAGAACATTTCGTTAAATTACGGCTCCTTATGGTCTAGTGGAATGCCACAAACTAATGGTATTGATGCTGATTTATCATGCAAAATACTTCATTAAATAGTGTTAAGAAAGTTGAATTGGTTTCACTTCCTACCCAGTAATCCTATTACAAGCAGACTAGACAATTCGCTAAAAACGATGCCTACTCAAGACCCTAAAAATCTAAAAAAGGCTCCAATAGTGTCGACAAAAAAAGAAGACAGCCATTTGTGTTTCATAACACTGTTTTTAGCACTATATTTTATAACTATACATATTTCCATACTCTCAGTTTCTTTATGAACCACCTCCATTTGTCAGTTGTTTGTTCACTCAAGCCTTGTCTACACTTATTGTCTTTAACCTATTACAATGCTCCTGCTTAATCAATTAGACTGAGTAGTCATACCTTAACTACTTTTTCATAAACATTGTATGCTCTGTTTCTCGCCCTTTTTTCTTGACCCATTTTTTAGCACCTTGAGATACGAAACGGGTGACCTCGTCCTACACCAACATTAAAGCCCCAGACATTCCAAAGGAATATAAGGCTTCGATTTCTAGAATCCTCCAACTTCACACGAACCTATTATTGATCATCAGTTGCACGTCGCGACGCAACATTCATGAAGCGCGCCAAATGTGACACTGGCTAAAACCATTTACATTCATTAATTATAAAATATCAATCCAGATGAGTAATTCACTACAATGGATATTGCATCATTTGCAACAACTTGATCTTGCCTGTAAACCGGCATGCCCCATGTAATAAACTGTTATTTGAGAATAAATTATTATTATTCTTGTTCGTTTTCCTCATGTCTATCTCCACTTCCAACTCCACCTGGAGTCCCTTTCGAAAGGGATACTGCCGGTCACAAGCCCAGATAAAGGAGGAGGGTTGGGCATAGGGTTAGCGACCCCATCCCCTAGAAAACTAACTCGCTAAAAAACCGCTAACCGGAAAAGATTATTCAAACCATTTAAACTCTGCCATGGGAGTCAGGAGGTCTTCGTTTAGAAGAATTATGACGCCTCATGATGAAAGCCGAGTTTCTTCGGAAGTCACGAGGCCGATGACCCTTCTGACAACCAAAGCAACCATTTATTTAGGTACATGGAATGCTCGCACAATGTGGGAGACTGGGAGAGTTTTCCAAATTGCTGCAGAAATGAGGAGATACAATTTGGAGGTGCTTGGGATCAGTGAAACACATTGTACGCAAGTTGGACAACAACGACTAGCTTCAGGGGAGCTGCTGTTATACTCCGGACATGAACAAGAAAATGCTCCACATACACAAGGAGTTGCATTGATGCTGTCCAAACAAGCACAAAATGCACTTATAGGATGGGAATCTCATGGACCAAGGATCATCAAAGCTTCCTTCAAAACAAAGAAAACGGGGATTACAATGAACGTCATCCAATGCTACGCGCCTACCAACGACTACAATGAAGACGCTGAAGATCAATTCTACGATAGGCTGCAGTCAGTCGTCGAGAAGTGCCCAACAAAAGACCTGACTATTCTGATGGGAGACCTAAATGCCAAGGTTGGAATTGACAACACCGGATATGAAGAGATCATGGGACGACACGGACTGGGAGAAAGGAACGAAAATGGTGAGAGATTAGCAAATCTATGTGCCTTCAATAAACTGGTCATAGGCGGGACTATATTCCCACATAAACGCATACACAAAACCACATGGACTTCACCGGATCACACCACACAGAACCAAATCGACCATATCTGCATCAACAAAAAGTTCAGGAGGACGATGGAGGACTTGAGAACAAAGAGAGGAGCTGATATATCATCAGATCATCACTTGTTGGTCGCCAAGATGAAATTGAAACTCAAGAGGCACTGGACAACGGGGAGGACAATATCACAAAAGTTTAATATGGCTCTTCTTCGGTATAATGACAAACTCAATAAGTTCAAGACAACCCTC